TGTACTAAAATTGAAATCCCTTGTACGTTAAAATATCTGAAATGCCATTGTGTGTGTGAATTGATCAAAATTTCCCTACGTATAAAAATTAATAAAATTACCTTATAAGTGATAATGAGTAAAAATCTTTAAATATAAAACTACCAAAATACCTTTATGTGTATAAAATTATCAAAATACTCCTATATTTAGTTGATTGGGATTTAAAGGCCTAAGTTGGTTGCAAATACATATGATGATTTTTTGTTGATTTTTATATATTAAAGGTCTAAGTTAATTGTAAACACATATGATGATTTTGTGTTGATTTCTATATTCATATATTTTTTGTGATCTTATTGTTAGGGACATAATGTGTGGTATTTGATATTGCGAGACTAATTATATGAGATCTTAAGACCCAAAAGGATTAGAAATACTCTTATGCATAATGAATTTAAAAAAACTAAAAAAAATTGAATTGAGAACAAGCTTGTAAAAGACTTGTGAAAATGGTTGGTGCTTGTTAAATGTATGAGTTGTAACACTTTGAAAATCAGTTTAGAATTTTTCTGACGTCTAATGATCGAGAAATTCTTTTTCGGCGTGTTATTTTAGTATTTGGTGTTTCCGATAATTAATTTATTTTATTTTAGTGAGGGTTAAAGAATAATTGAACTTGGATAAAGGTTTATTGATGAAAATGGAATAAAAGAAGAATAAGAAAAAAATAGTAAAAGTTTGAAAGTTAGATGCTAAAGTGAAAATAAGACAAAAGTTAAATGACTAAAGATGAACTGAAACATGATGATATTCAAGAGGTGGAAAGATGAATGCCTAAAGTTATAGTTTTACCACTTTTAAGTTGGTGATTAAGCTGTTAATTTGTCATTTCTTATATTTTGGCCCAGTCAGAGAATTTCTGTATTTTACTCTAATTTCCCTAAATTAGCTTACCCTCTGGAGTGGGCTTCGTTGGGTATATAGACCAGGCGGGAAAAATTTTAAAAATTAGGTGTGTTTGAGAATTATTTTAGGATCTAAAATATTTGTTATAGTGTACGTGAAACTCGTCAATCAATAAATATATTAAAATGTTAAAACTCGTCACATCCAGCATGACGAGTTTCACGTGCACCGTAACAAATGTCTTAGATCCCATAATAATTCTGAAACACCTCTATTTTTTTATTATTCACAAAATTACTTCCTTTGGAGTGGGTTAACTCCATCGGCCCAAGGGGCTTATTTAGAAAGATATCGTATCATTTTCTAGAGGTGGCAAAGGGTCATTCGGATCGGGTTTGGATCGAATTATTTCGGGTCTAGATTATATTCCGTTTAATTTTATTTGGGTCGGATCGGATTTGGTTCGGATCTAGTTCATTCGTACAGTAAATCGGATCGGGTCACTTTTCAGGTTGGGTGATTATCGAATCAGTTGTTTTTCGGGTTGGGTGATTATCGAATTAGTTGTTTTTCGGTTCAGATCAATATTGAATCGGTTGATTTTTGGGTCGGGTTAATATCAGGTTGGGTCAATATCGGATAGGTTGATTTTTGGGTCAGGTTAACACCGAATCGTTTAGATTTCGGGTCGGGTCAATATCGGATCGATTGATTTTCGGTTTGAGTCAACGTTTAGAGCGGGTCAATTTCGGTTAAATTGGTTACGAGTCTAATAAAGTATATATATAATTATCGATATATTCTTGTAAAAAAATATGTTTTTTGTTTGTTAATATTATTATTTAGGCCTAATTTCAATTCTTAATCATTCAATATTTTGAACCAACCCATCATTTATAGATGATAAATCGATAATTTGACATAAATACGATCCTATAATGCGTGTTAGAACTTGTTATCAAAATTTTATGTTGATCTTGTACGAAAATCTTATCTATTTGATAAAGAAATATTTTTTTATTAAAAATTTTATTTCCAATTATAAATTTAATATTTTATTAAATTTTAAAAATAATACATAACATTATTAGTTAAGTTTTAGTCATAACATAAGTAAATTTTATATTATTTTTATTATAAATCTAATATTATTTTCTTTGTTTTAGTTGTTTTCTATTATTTTTATTATAAATCTAATATTTTTTATTACAAGTAAGATAAGTAAACTTTATTTGTTATTGTTTTTAATCTTACAATAAGATTCTTATTTTTATATTCCTCTAATCTAACACAAGTAAACTTTCTATTATTTTTTATTATAAATCTAATATTTTTATTACAAGTAAGATAAGTAAACTTTATTTGTTACTATTTTCAATCTTACAATAAGATCCTTAATTTCGATTTGGGTTAATTTTCATTCGGATTGCTTTCAGGTCGGGTTAAATTCGGTTCTGGTTGCTTTCAGATCAGGATAAAATTCAATTCATATTTCTTTTGGTTCGGGTTAAAATTCAGTTCAGATTTCTTTAGGTTTGGGTTAATTTCGATTCGAATTTCTTTTGATTCAGGTTAATTTCGGTTCGGGTTGCTTTCGATTTGGATTAATTTCAATTCGGGTTGCTTTCGGTTAGGGTTAATTTCGGTTCGGGTTGCTTTCAGTTTCGCTAAATTTTGGATTAGGTATGGGTTGGGTATCAGATCAAATTTGATTATCATGTGTGGGTTAATATCAGGTATTGGGTCGAGTAAATTGATTCAATTAATCGGGTTCGAGTCAAATTTGCCAGGTCTATCATTTTCTCCAACTTCATCTTCCTTAATTTTTATTGTGAACCTTATATCCAAGTTAAACTTTACTTTGTCTCTTTAAAATTTGGAAACCTTCATCTCACCCAAATTATAAATTGAACACATGTTTAAAATTCTTCAACTATACTCTTTCCATTGATAGTATTAATCTCAAGTTTCTAGTAAGTTAGTGTCAAACCCTAAATGAGAATAATGGTAAAAGTAAAAGATTTTGTTTAAATTGATCATATGTGATGACGGATTCATATTGATGAAGTATTTTTCTACCTTAATAGAGCTCACTTAGAGCACCCAGGATGACAACTTATGTATTGGCATCTATATATGAATATGATGATGTCCGAGAGTTGTTCTAGACCTAATTTGAGAAAGTGAGGCCATATAGGTAGGAGTGAGCATTCAATCGAGTCGAGTTGATTCAAAATATTTCGAGTTATTCAAGCTGACGAGTTATATTTTATAAATCAAAATTTATTTTAAAAAATTCAAATTAAATAAAGTTGTTCGAGTTTCTATTTAAAATTTATTTTAAATATTTATAATATTATGAAACTATTCGATTTCAATTTAGACGGTTTTCTATAACCATATACAATACATATATATTTCTTCATATTTTTTCATATGTGATATACATATATAATACAGAGTTGAGAGACTCGACTCTAACTTCAAAATCAATCCATTATTACTAAAATTTAAGAATAATTCGAATTATATTTTATAACTCGACTTGAATTTGATATTTTTTTCGAGTAAAATTGAGTTTATAAATTATGAATCGAGTTTTTCAATCGATTAGAATCTAAAAGATTGATTTTTCAAATCGAGTTGAGCTTCCCAACATGTAGGTGTATTGGAGCTATGAGCACAATAATGGAATTAGTAACTCATGTTATTGGTATATTATGACAAGTTTACCTTGTCAGTTTCATTATACAATTGACGTGGTGTAGAGTCCATAGCACTTGTACGGGTATTATAAGACGTCGATCTTATTAGTAAGAGAGGGATGAGGTTTGGTCGTCCTTCTCTTCATGGCAATGGTGAAAGGATTGACCTATTTGTGTGCTATTTACACTAATAACGACGTATGAATTCCTGTTTCTGTTCGAAAAGAATACCACTGTGATTTTGGAATTCATGTTTTCATTGTTCGAAAGAATACTATCTAAACTATCAATTTTGATCCGTTTTAGTAACTAAATTTTTATTTTTTTTTCAAAAATCATACCTAACGTTTAATTTTTGTTTCATTTAGTACCTCACAGTTAAAAACTTAACCATGCTGCATTTTTTATGGGTAAATTACATCATTTATCACTCAATTATCTTCCCACTCCTATTTTAGTACTAAAGTTTAAAAATGTTCAATTTAACTACTCAACTTTCAAATTACTTATATTTTAATCACTATAATTTATTTTATTAATACTTTTTTGTGACATGACATTTTTTATTATTTGTTATATTATTAATAAATTAAAGTGATTAAATTAGGAGTAATTTGAAAGTTGAGTAGTTAAATTAAAAATGTTTAAACTTTAGTGACAAAAATAGAAATGAGAAGATATTTGAGTGATGAATGTTGCAATAAACCCATAAAAAAGGTGTCACAGTCAAATTATTAACAATAAGATGCCAAAAATGAAATAAAAACGAAACATTAAAACAACCGTAAGTTTAAGTACTAAAACGAACCAAAATTGATAGTTAAATACTAAACATGAAGTTTACCCCAGTAGTTTTGATATCTAAATTATTCCCAAGTTTGTGATTATCTCACTATGCTATATAAATTTACTGTGTATTTGATTGATTTCTAGTGGATAGGGATTACATTTCAAGAGTAACAAGTCAACTTTTCAATCTTCTATTGGATCAAGAGAGATCGAAATCAATCAATTCTAGGTTCTTTTGGATCCCTATGCATTATAATAATTCATTCTAATTACAAATTATAATTATAATTGTTCTAATCATTACACTTACAGAACTTTCCAAAAAAAAGAAGCTTATTTGAGTAGAACAGTAGAAATATAAGAGCTATTTCAAAAAAACTCAAGTGCTCGAGAGTAGATTATGGCCACGTGTGCACCACGATTAAAATATAATAGATACTAACAGCTCAATTCGTGTCGATATAACTATTTCAATATGCCATGGGAAGAAGTGTTTCGCAAACATCAGCAATAATATTCATCAAATAAGCCTAGGTTTTGCATCTTTTTTATCAACTAAGTACTTAATGACAGAGTGATCAGTATGTACTATAACCTTAGTTCCTATAAGATACGGTACATTTTACCCTGTTTAAATTTATTTACGCGCAAAAGATGAATAGAAATCAAGTCTCACAAAATGAACATCATCATGGAAAACCTAAATCAAATCCAATATACATTTCTAACTCAATTATCTTATCCTTACCAATCCAAGCTATGATGGTAGACAATGACCCCCACAAGCTTACCACTTTTCATATCGAAGGTTCTCCATCTCCAGGCCACCCGGGCAAGAGGCGTGCTCGTCCTCCACGACAGTCTCTCGGTTACCAAGATCATTTAAAGCTCTCTTTGCATAAACGGTAAAAGCAATTGTGGTAATAATTGCTATGATGAAGGAAACAACATTGTATACAATTTCCACAGTGGTGAAGCGATGGTTGCCATAACTAACATCGGCTAATGTCCTTATTAATCGACCACTGCACAAGATGTTGAGTGAACAGTTAGTTTACAAAGATAGTACCCATCAGCAGTATGTAACATCAAATTAGAAGTGAAAAATTTTATAATTCGAGACAGGCATAAAATCATGAGATTTATATGAACTGAATAATAGAGGATTAGTTCAAATCCGGTAGAAGCCAGAACATGATTAAGTTCCCTAAACAAGACTGTCTTCTTCTTAACTCTAGATAGAAAACTTTTCAATGGCTGATGTGGCCAGAAAATTTAAATGCATTACATATTTGCCTAGGAATTGCAATGTTTTTGGCCACCTATTTCATCCACTTTTCCCATTTTCCTCTCCTTTCTACAGAATATAGAGCAACTCATCCTTAACCTCCTGGTCGTTTGCCTTCGGAACCATCCCCCAAATGCTAGCAAAGGTGGTGTCTCCTTTCTTCTTTCCCTCACTAAATTTGGTTTGATCCGAACAACTCCTTCCCTCCTCTCATTGTCACATGTTTCCCATTTTCCACAAGTTTCACTGGTGTTCGCTTTGATTTAGCCTCGGATGAAACAAGACCTCTTTCTCACTCCACTCCCTTTCCATTTCTCAACTTCTAATCTCCACTGCTGATAGTAATGAGATGCGGGGCAACCAGTTGAAACGATTTGTGGAGCTGGTGGCAACAGGGTATTGGCAAGGGTTTTTTTTTTTTTTTTTTTGCCTTCACAACAGCACTCATGCATAAGGGATTAGCCTTTGGTCCCTTTTATGGTGTCATAGAGCAGAAAGGTGGGAAGTAGAGATCTTGCATTGTGTTTGATGGCTTGATGGTGACTGGCTGTTGTATTAGGGTGGTAGAGCGCTGGCAGACCAAAACAGTCAATATTTGAGGGTGTGTTTTCAAAGATGCAATGTCCAATCATAATTAGCAATGATGAGGTAATTTTAACATCATCATCAAGATATGAAAAAGGACAACATCAGCCTAACTTAGCACACTACAAGGAACAAGTTTTGCATTCACTTGATTGGCATTGCAAGCACAATTTCTATCTTAGACCTTATTTGGATATGAGGAAAACAGGACCGATTCAACAAATTAAATAAATTTCAGGGACTCCTACGAGTACTATAAATTTAACATGATTTCTTCACATTGCATACCTGTAGATATAAATAAAAGCTTCTGGAATCATTCCAGTGATCGATCCCCATAAGTAGGGCCAAAACTTCATGCTGGTTACCACAACTGCATAGTTGAATATTGTGTAAGGAAAAGGTGAAACTCTAAACAGAGCAACCACTTTAAATTGATGGAACCAGTCTCCTTCTCCTGCAAGTCGAACCACAGCAGCTGTTTGGGGCCATTTCCTTAACCAGTGCTGCCCATCCAAGAGAGGAGATCAGAGACGGCAGGAACGAAAATCAAGTTTCCTAAATAACTATTCAAAATTAGCTGAAACCAAGTAGAAGTCTTACATGGATACGTTCATGGAAAAGCAGTCCAACCAAATATGGTAGGACCATTCCGATGGTTGTTCCGACCATAATTATGAGGAATCCAAGACCATAGCCAAAAATCATCCCAGCCAACCACATGGATGGACCGGAAGGTATTAAGAACACAGGAAACAGGGCAAGAGAAGTAACAAGCACAACAGCAAGAATAGGGCGACCAAAGGCAGTTGCTTCCCATCTCATGGTCGGGATTAGAACCTAAAGTTAAATTAAAAAATCATCAATGCTAAAATTCCAGTTAGCACAAGGTGATTACACTCCAAGGATGCAATCTTAAACAGCATGCAAAGCATGAAAAACATGGTTATAGAAAAAATGGTTTTAGGCAATCAATACTCCCATGAAAATTAAACTGGTAAAAGAAAACCATCATTTCATCTAAAACGTATCAATGGAATGCCCCTTTCTTAGCTTAGGTCATACTTCATTTCTCTATAGTTATATTTTCTTGTTGCAGGAATTAGCCAAACAACTCAAGGAATCGAATCGCATACACAAAAAACAATGAACACCACTTTTGTTGTATGCAAAAAATTAAGAGGTAGAAGACGCAAAGGGAGAGGAAGAGAAGAAAGCTAGGGGAAACCAGCAAGTACCTTCTCAAAAAGAAACGGTGCTCCCCATTTAAAGAAAACAATAAGCAATATAATTGCTAAAAAGCAGCACACAAAGGCTTTGATCCACCAGCTGAACGTTTTACTCCTCACGGGTGATCTAGGTTGTAAGATGCCCATTCCATCAGCAGTCGGTTCATTAGAAACAACCAGCCTAGCATATTCACTATCCTCCCCCGGATGATGCCCAGAATCAGTGTCATGTTTTTCTAGTTCGCTACACAAATTTGGCATCTGAACTCAAAAAGCAGAAGCACTTAGCAAGACGAGCATAAACATCAAACCACACAGACAATTAAAGCCGCAATAATAAAAGTTAAATAAGTAGATATAGGAGCATGAAGGAGATACAAGAAGAAAGCAGGACTTCATATTTAATTAGGGATGAAGGAACAAAACGCAATAAAAGCCAAGAAAATATAATAAAAGTCATAATCAGCAGCATGTCCAACTCCAATTTATAACGTTTCCTTAAAAGAACTTGAATTTAATTCTGGATAAGAAGTGGAAAACCTAACTCCATAGTCCATGAAAACGATACACGTAGCTTAACAAGGATCGAAACTCAGCTTACCAATCCCATTATATCTTTGATCCATTTATGATTCAAGTACGTTATTACTTCACACGTACAACGTTTTTCCTCATTTCATAAGAGAATCAAATGTAAAAAGAGAGTTCAACAGAAAATTAAGGGTAATTCACCTCTCTTCGTGTTTTATTGTAAACTGTCAAGCAGTTCGAGTTACAAAGACGTCGGAGGAGAAGAAGCGACAACGGAGGCGAGCTCCTCGGCCGGCGGCGGAAGGGTGGCAGGTGAGGTTGTCAGGCAGCTGGTGGAGGATTCGTTGGTTTCGTTTTTAGTTTGAAGGAGAAAGCGTAAAGGTTTGAAATTAGGAATTTTCCAAAGACGCCTTTCATAGTGATTTACCAAAAATTCAAAAACTGGACATTTTCTTTATTTTGGATTTGAAAATGAATAATTAAATAAATAAATAAATAAATAAAACTTTTTTTCTTTTCTTCTAGAATAAGGTTTTCTCCCCCATAGAATATCATTACTCTTTAGAATTTGTATGTATGTTACAGGTAGGACTGTAAATGAACGAGACAGATCGCGAGCTACTTGAGATCGACTCGATTAAGACTCGATAAATATTCGGATCGAATGGACTCGACTCGAGCTTGAGCTCGACTCGAGTTCTTAACGAGCCGAAACGAGCTACTCGATATTCGACTCGAAAAGCTCGTGAGCAGCTCGAAAAAAAATTTATATTATAATTTTAGATTTTTTAAAATTACATTATTAAAAATTTATTAAAAATATATTATTGATATTTATAAAATTTTAAAAATATATTAAAAATTCTATAATACAATTACCCTCAAATTTAATTTTTTTAATTAACCAGCCCAAGTCCATTTGTTACATTGTATATTACTAAAAATATAAAAACTCATTTAATTAAGCACATGTTAGATTACACGTGTTTGGTTGATTTTTTTTCATTCTTTTTTTAACTTTTTACTGCACCAGTACTTGACAAAGTATTAAATATTATAGTAGATAGGCAATGAGATTAAAAAGAAATGGTGGTGATAAAGATTAATTATTATTGTGGAGGTGTTGAATATTATAGTAGTGGGATTAAAACTAATAGTGGAATATGTGTTCAAATTCATACATAATTGTAGTGCTATAATAATAAAAATGATAAACTTTTAATTAAATTGGTATTAATTCTAAATAATAGTTAATATTATTAAATTTTTATTTATATTAAATTTTTATTATAATTTTTATTATATTAATTAGTTTCTATCGACCATGAACATTTCTAGTTTAAAAATCATCTAAATACTATTAAAATATAATATTCCTTTAAAATCTTATCACATCCAATGTAAAATGAAATTTAAATGAAGAAAATTAAGATTATAATAAAACATAAGGATTTAAGTATGATTTAAAGAAGTGATGAATTGAAAATGAATTAAAGATAAAATGGAATAATTAAAGTGATATCAAGCCCTTCATTTTATATCATATTGGTACTTTAAATAATTTGATATAAATTTATAGAATAATATAAAGTTGTATATACATATGAGTATGGAAAAAGTGGCAAAACGAGGTGTGGACACTTAGCCCCGCTAATTTCATGCAATTTGATGTATGAATATTAGAGGGGAAAAGATGCAATTTTCTCATTTATTTGTTATAATAATAAAGTGTTAATCAATTTGAGAGTCTAACTACATTAAAATAAAAATTTGAATTGATGGAAAGGTGGGAATTTTCTGGAGTCAGAAAAGCTAGAAAATACCATTGTTGGGTCTCAAAAACAAACCTAAACCTAAATATTCAGCCGCTCAAGCCTCCCCTTCTCCAACTCTCCCCCCTCTCATTCTCACGCACGACCCATAACCAGAAAACAGTGCCGCTCCTCTCGCCTTTCTTCAACGGAGTTATACACTTCAACCACCAAACCCCGATGACTAGGTAACTACATTCAACATTAAAATAGGTTTGGCCTTCTCCTTTTACCCTCAAATAACCTTAGCCGAGTCCCTCTCAAAACCCACAGCCACCATGAAAATAAAACCCTCTTATTATTTTATAATGAACTTATTTTTGACTAACACAACCCCTTATTTTGACAGTGAAGCTCGAACGGCTAAGAGGCAAAGCAGGATGAACTACAACTAAGGTAAACGTTTAAGCTATCTCCTTTATGCCTTTGACTTGGTTTCGATTCGAAATATATGCACACACAAGAAAATTAAGAAAGCAATGGAGAATAGAAACTAAAAAAATACCCCTTTGATTCTGTATATTGCTTGGGTTCGATGAAAAAAAATGCTTCTATGTTTATTTTGTTCCTCAACTAGCAGGAAAATACAATACAAATTACTTCCTTATGTTTTGCTATTATCTGTAAAAAGAATCAATGGGGGACGATTTTTTTCTGCTTCTGTTTTCTCGGTTAATTGCTGCTGTCCCTCGGCTCATTCATCTCTTTTTTTTGTATGCGATCTCCTTTTCCCCAGTGGTTAATTGTCACTTTGAAGAGTTAAGCTCATATAGTGACTCACTCAGATAAAAATTGCTGGTAATGCCCAAAATAATGTTCTTAAAAGTATTTAAAGTAAGGTGAATTCTATATCCTTCGCAGATAACCTGAATGACATTAACATAGAATGTTTGGGTACTCCAATGAGGGACTGTTTTATATTAATACAGATAGAAACTGGATGAGGTTGTCTGTATTGGTAAACTTTAAACATGTTTTGTTCTCCCCATCCTTTATTTGGTGGATTTCTTCCACAACTGTTTTCAAGGTAAGTAAGACCCTTGGTTTTCACTTTCATGTATCCCCCTCCAAAAAAAATCTGATTAATTTAGTATAATAGTTCCATAAGTCATAATAATGGATGACACATACTCACAGAGATGTAAATTCCCTTTTGCATTAACAAAAGAATCACAACTTTCAATCATTTTCATCCTATGCACACGTGTGTTACAGGTTCATGAGATGCATATTCCCTTTTGCATCACAACATTTCAATACTTATCTTTTTCATCAGATATCCCCTCTTCATGGATGTAGTTCAGTTAAAAGTTTATGATTCTGTTGTCACCTTTGAACAGCTGATGAAATCTTGTTGACCATCAAATCAAAATGCTACTTTATCGAAATAAATTCATATAAATGCAGTATAACAATATGGCTTCCTGAAATTTATTCTATAGACTGACACATTGAGATTAATCAACAATATTTGAAGATGATTTGAGTGGTATAATATAAAAAAAAACTACAGAGTACATTTTTTGATAAAATAAAGGTGTAAATATCTGTTATCCAGGTCCAGTTGAGTGTCGGATATAATAAGGTATATAATAAGGATATTATACCAGATCATCCATCTCTAACTACCCTTGCATTAGTCTTTAAAAATATGGGATAAAATAGTTGCTATTTATATGGATCAATGCTAAAGATGACATCTCACGAGCAATATCAATGTCTCTTTTGTAAACTTGGACATGTTGCAATCTTTTGTAAGTAAAATTGACATGTTGCTGCCATCTTTTGTAAGTAAAATTGACATATTGCTGCCATCTTTTGTAAGTAAGCTTAATTGGTTGATATCATTTTTTGTATTCTTTTTTTGTAAGTAAACTTAACATGCAGCTATCATTTAAATTTCAATCCCCGTTCAGTTTATTGGGTTATCTTTTCATTTTTACCGTTTGAATGTTCTTGGATTCCCTGACTTTATTTTCGTTCGTTGTTTACATACATCTTTGTATTATTTTTAGTAGCTAAATGCATTCCCTAGTTTTGTATTATGTTGTTAGTGCATTATGGAACTGTACATCCTTAGGAAACTGTCATTTGTATGCTGATGCAACATATGTATTTTGCTTGTATATAGCTCTTGGTAGTTGTTTAAGCCCTTGCACGGGCTTTTGTTTACATTGGCTTGAAGGTTGCAAGTACCTTCACCGTTTTTAGAAGATATCAATTGAAGAAGATGTCATAGCATTGAGAATTTGGTGTTGGGAAGTATATATGGATTATCCTATTACATGAAGCTATTATGATATTGTTATCTTTTGTAAGGAAAATATTGTCATCTTATATAAATTTGGATATGTTGTCATATTTGTCGTCTTTTTATAAATTTAGATGTGTTGTCATATTTTGTAAATTTTCACTACATTTGAAGTTTTAAAAACTTCAAAGCTTATATTAATTATTCTAAATTTCTTGTAATTGTATTTTTATTTTTTAGATTTTTTATAGTTCATACATTCATATTATAATGTATTGGTGATGGTTGATTAAAGAAAAAATTATTTATATATTTTAAATGTAATATAAGATTTTTGTAGGTTCAAATTCGAGTTTGAGTTCGAGCTTGAATCGAGTTCGAGCTTGAATCGAGCTCAAAATCAAGCTTCAATCGAGCTCGAGTCTCGAGCTTCAATCGAGCTCGAGTCTCGAGCTTCAATCGAGCTCTTGAAATTTTTTTGAGTTCGAGCCTTTTCGAGTTCGAGTCGAGTTTCAATAATATATTTCGAGTTCGAGCTGAGCTTCATAATTTTTAGCTCGCGAGTTTTCGAGTCGACTCGGCTCGTTTACACCCCTAGCTACAGGTGGCGAATGGGAAATGCTCACGTGCAGCATCTTAATATACGATTAAAATAATGCGTTATCGGTTTTGTTATTATTTTAAATAATAAAAATCGGTAAAAAAATGACCAAAAATATTATTATTTCTACAGGTTCTAATTACTGATATAGGTAAACTCGATAGAAAAAATTTTTCTACTGCGATTACCTATATCGATAATTTATAATAATATTAAAACCAATAGAAATAATAATGATTTCGGTCATTTTTTACCGATTTTATTATTTTAAAGTAAAAACAAAACTGGTAACTCCTTTTTTTAGCCGTATATTAGGTTGCCGCACATTCAAGATGGATATGTATTTATCTTGAAATCTAATTTTCTTTAAATAATTATCTATTTTCATTGTTGTGTTTGTCTTGAAATTTGATTTTTTTTCTAAATAATTACCTATTTTAAGGGTTTTGTCTATTCTAAAATTTTATTTGTGCTCACTTCATATAAAATATTATGTGATTAACCTTAAAAAATATTTCTAAATTCGCCACTGTCTGTCACGTGTATTGATAAAACTAGTATTCTTTCTGTATCATTAAATCTGTCCATTATTCACTTTTTTGTCAAAATTTTTAACTTTGATTCATCATTATTTAAAATTTATTATTGACAAAAATATGAAAAATATATTTTAAAAACCTTAAATTGAGTAGTTTCTAAATATATATTTTATAAAATTTAATTGTTTAAAATATTTAAAATAATCATGATCAAAG